ATTCGTCCTGAATCTTAAAAGACTGAATGGTTTCATAAAAAATGAACATTTTAAAATGGAGGATTGGAGAACAGTGGCTAAACTTTTGCAGAGAAATTGGTTTTTGACGTCAATAGATATCAAAGATGCCTACTTTCTTGTTCCTATTCATTCTTCAAGTAGAAAGTATTTGAGATTTTCTTCCAACAACATTATTTATGAATTTACTTGCTTACCGTTTGGTTTATCTAGTGCACCTTATGTATTCACTAAGATTTTGAGACCAGTTATTTCCTATTTGCATAGACAGAGTATTTGTGTTGTGGTTTACTTAGATGATTTTTTAATATTATCAGAGACAGAAGAGAAATGTAGGAAAGACACTGCCTCGGTTGTGGATCTTTTAGAGTACTTGGGTTTCTTAATTAATTATGAGAAAGCCTCTCTTATTCCTATGCATAAATGCAAATTTATTGGGTTTTATTTTAACTCAAAAGACATGTGCATTGAACTTCCTGTGGAAAAAAAGATACGAATTGTAAAAAGTTTTTACCTACGAGCGTGCGGTAAAGTGCACTTTACCGCACGTATTTGCAAATGGAAAGTATCACTTTACCACACACTATGCGGTAAAGTGCACTTTACCGCATAGTGTGCGGTAAAGTTAACTTTACAGCATAGTATGCGGTAAAGTGGACTACAAAGTGTGCGGTAAAGTGCACTTTACCGCATAGTGTGCGGTAAAGTAAAGTTTGATATTTTTAATCAGAAATCCTCTCTTATTCAGAAAATGGATTTTTGATCATTTCTATATCTAATTTAGTTTCATTAATTAATCTGATTCAATAATTAATTTTATCAATTCCTTTTTTTAGAGATGTAGATGCTCATAGGTAAAATTTTGTACCTAACACATGCGGAAAGTGCCTTTACCGCCCTTAACGGCTTGACCGAATTCCGCTCCGCGTCGTTCAGTCAACTGCCGTTGCGTGCGGTAAAGTATCACTTTCCGCATTTGTTAGGTAAATAACTATTACAGTTTAGCTGTCAATTTTACAAGTCAGTAGAGCCAGTAACTGGTAAAAATCAATTTTCGTTGTTTATGTTTTGACTTGATAAATGACGTTTTACAAATGAGTGACAAATAAAACATATTTCATCTCTAAAATCAAATAGTGCCCCTGGTATGGATGGAATTTCCAGTAGACCCATAAAATTCATACATCCACATATAATCACACCTTTAAAACACATAAATCTAATATTTGAAAGGGGTACTGTTCCACAACATTTTAAAACCTCCTTAATAACACCATCCTACAAAAATGGTCAAATCCAAATCAATAAAATAGAAAATAATCGACCTCATTAATAACTTAGCAAACATTTTTGAAAGGGCAACAAAGGACAGACTGATAATTTTTTTTAAAATAAACAACATCTAATACACTGTATGAGTTCACAAAGGGAATCAGTACTTCTGATGCTATTCAGCTCATCATCTTACATCAGAAATAACAAAGAGTATGCAGACGACACAGCATTGATCTTTAAGGGGTCGTCCTGGGAGGACACCAGGCAAAAAGTCATTAGGGGATTCAAAATGTTAAAAACTGGCTGGAAAGCTACAAACTCTTATTGAGCCTACAGAAAACAAGCTACATTGCATTTTCCCCAGTAAATAAAAAAAGACCAATCTTTGAAAAAAATATCATAAATAAAAATGAATCTATTGATTGTTGTGAAAAAACGAAATATTTGGGGATTGTGATCGACCAACAACTTAAATGGACACATCATATCAGCAGCCATGTTGTATCAAAGGTCAGAAAACTTAAGTATACATTTTACGAGAAATCCTTAATGAAAAATTATCAATACTGATCTATAAACTTGGCTTATATTGATATTGTTGTATTCCAGGTTTTTTAGAAAGCTCTTAGCCTAGGTTATGCTTTAGAATAACAATTCTTCTTTACATATCTCTGTCTTTGAGCAGAATAACATTGGATTGAAAGTTCAAGGAGGAGCAACTACTGAAATGAAATTATTTTGTTACGTTACCTCTCTGTCTTATTGTAATTCTGTTGTAGAGAGGTAAATGGTCGTAACTCTACTTTTAATTAATATTGAGTTAATATCATTCTCAAAGTTCACGCTTTCCATATTAAGCTAATTGACATGTGACATGAAATTATGTGGTTGGCCATTTTTCGACACATGACACGAGTTGCTACGAGCCCTTGCAATAATTTTTGATTTGCATTATAGATTTCTTTGTCAATAATGAATTGTACTGTTATAGTTATGTAAGCTTACTGAAAATATTGAATATTGAACTGAATAAATTGTGTACTTTTTGTTTGCTTCCAATAAATAGATTTAAAAAATATAACAAAATAAAGTTTTTGATTTTGTCAAATTTCAACACCTTGTAAAGTATTGAGCCTACAATAAAAATAAAAATGACATATGTTGTTGAAATTTGTGGTAAATTTATTGTAGTTAATTCTGGTAGAATATGTTGATATTTTTAAAGGTTTTAGAGATATAAGTAAAAAAAATAAATAAAAAATCACCTTTTGCCCCCTCCTCTACCGCTGGCTTACTCCCACCCTCGGGGACTTTTAGTATGTTTGTCAGACACCCCAATGAATAACTATACCAAATTTAAAAACTCAAATTCTTACGAAAACTGCCACTAGGGGTTGCGGATTTCAATTTGTGCCCGGTCCCTCCAAATAAAATTAAAACAAAATTTATGGCATTTCAACATTTTATTGCAAAACTTGCACAAGCTGCACACGTACAATAAACACAGAATGTCTTAAATAACTATTTGGGATTTGTAGGTAGGTACTCAAGTTTCGAACCCCTACCAACAACTTGCGCAACCTCCTTTCCAGAATCCAAAAATTTAATATTATACAGGGTATTTATTTTGAAAACAAAAATCATTCTTCTGATAACTCTTTATGGAACATTCTGCATACTACCCGAAACCAACATATCCTGGCACTTTTTAATAATACCTATAAATGTCAAGTTTAAACCCTGTGTCAAAAACTTCAAATAAGAATGTTACTTATTGGTCAAAATGTGGCCAATGAGCCTGTATGTAACGGGTCTTGAAAAAAAAATCAAAGATTTTTTTTAAACGTAAAGTCTATTTTTTTTCAAGATAAAAGTCAAAGTGACATTATGTTGTTGGCAATACAATGTAAAATTGTCAATGCTTTCAAATTTTTTATGTAAAAAAGGCTTGTGTTGCCAACATAGTTACTAAATTTTTGACTTGGGGAATTATCTTAAAAAAAAAACAGACTTTATATCTATCTTTAATTTCGTCAATGAACATTAATGTCAAAATGTCATGTCAAGAATCCTGACGATTAAAGAAGCAATAAAGCGACGTACGTTTTCGTAATCATAGCAATATTTGATTGGCTTTTTTTTGAAGGCCCTTTATAATCAATTTAAAAAAAAAATTCATCCCAAGTAAAAAAAAAAAAAAAAATTCTCAAAAAATAAATATAAATCCCTTATAAAAACTTATAAATATCTGTTTGTTTCACGAGAGTTTGTACTTACGTCATCATTCGCCTTCCTTTTTCAAAAAATAAAAATTGACTGAAACAAATTGATGACGTTGAAAATATTCGTCGCTTCTTGAAACCAGAAGTCATTCATTAAATTTGGCAAAAAAATTTAATACAAAATCTGAGTGGTAGGTATTGAATTTATATGAGTTAATCTACGAAAAAACCTTTTTTTCCAAGTTATGCCTTAATCGATAACGTAAGTACGAACCTTCATGAAACGCACTGTACATATGTATTTTGAACTAATTTCTAAAATGAAAATACTTTACGCACTACTGCGTGAAGTGAATATTTGTCTGAATTTATTTTTTTACACTTATTTCATTGTAAGTATTACATTTTGTATACAATGTGTGTAAAGCACCTTTTTTCACTTTACACACTTGTTGCAGTAGTAGTACTAGCTAAAGTCTGTTTTTTTTTTAAGATAAAAGTCAAAATGACATTATGTTGGCAATACAATATAAAATTGTCAATACTTTCAAATTTTTTATGTAGAAAAGGTTTATTTGGCCAACATAGATACTAAATTTTTGACTTGGGAAATTATCTTTCAAAAAAAAAAACGGACAACTATTCTAAATATGAACGGCTAGAAATGTCAAAAAGCATCAAATACGTAAAGTCCGACAAATACCATTTTAAAGTCACGTGATATTGGTGGCAAAAAACGTATGTCCATTGATTATGTCGTTGATATCACCTACAAAAAGCTACTAGTGGTTAATTACTATTGAATTTTAGGATATGTTCCCAATAGCATTTTACAAACGCGTTTCTGAAGTAGTATTGGCCAATCAGATGGGAATTTTAATACTTGCAATTGTTGTGAGACTCACTTTTGACGCATCTGCTGTCCATTGTAATACATTCTGAACTTGAATTGGGTACCCGATTTTTATTTGCTTTTTTTCGAGTTGGAAAAAGGTTAATATAGTCAAAATTATTAGCTGTGTTTGTTCGTTGTATCATTTTCCAAAATAACTTTGACAAATTAATTGATGACAGTGACGGATTCTATTTCAGGTAAGAATATTATGAATAATAATTAGACACCATTTTTTTGTCAATTTTGCTATCACCGCTGTTTGAGATGTATTCAACAAGGATAGAGAAAAATCACTTAAAAATGATATTTGTTGGACTATAAATGTAATTTTCACTACTTAACGGAATAATCAACATGCAACATATCGGGTCTTCAAAAAAAAAAACCAATCAAAGATTGCTATGGTTTTTTAAACGTATGTCTTAGCAATATTTTTCTTTAATTTTGTCAATGAACTTTAATGTCAAAATGTCATGTCAAAAATCCTGACCAATAAAGAAACAGGAATGCGACGTACGTTTTCGTAATCAAAGCAATCTTCGATTGGTTTTTTTTTTGAAGACCCGATATAAATCATTAAAATCTGAGACCCCAAAACTATAAGGAACAAAAGAATATTAGGACTTTTCTTCAAAATACTAGAATAGCTTGTTGAATTTTGCTTTCACAGGTAGTAAAGGGTATTGCTGAGAGCTGAGGATGCTGCCCTGAAACGAAGAAAAAATTAAAATTACTTTTGAGTAACAAGTTGCTGATAAACAACGACTGAACACAAAAATAATTTCTAGTGGAGAAACAGTATTTTAAAGTAGGAAAGAACCAAACGGCCTTGAAAGCAGCATTTTTTTATAAAACAAAGTCTGTTGATTCCAGTGTTTCTGCTATCCCCAACAAATACCCCTTATGCTTCGTTACATCATAGTTTGACTATGTAATAAAAACAAATTTTCCTCACCTATGCAAAGATTGGGCAGTGAGGAACGACAACTTGTGTGCATACTGGCACGGTGCTGGCACTCTAACGGTTCCAGACCAATTAAAGTACATATGACACATTTTGTAAGTGAATCTCTGTAATTTGTTGGCGTCAATTCCTAGTGTATCTTCGATGACGTTGTAGCTTGTAGGGGTAGCCGTGCCCTGTCGCACACATTGAGAAACTATGTAGAAGTCATATCTTTCTGGCCATGTTATAACATCATCAACAACCGTACCAGGTGGGACGTTGAAGTCATTCCTTTGGCTCGCCTGTGACCTGAAAATTTTCGTGTTTATCCTCTTGGATACAATGATGACTGCCATCTGCAGTGGAACTTCTTTATAGAGTTCTTCAGCTAATCTGGTCTTGATCATTTCAACTTCATATTCTTTGACGTATTGAATTTGCCCATCCCCAACTCCATCCCTGTAAACAACGATTCTGTCAGGAATCACCTTGTTAATTTGTTGAAATCTTTTGCATGCCAACAGCATAAAATTAGCGATGTTTGAGCTCAGTTCTTGCTCAAATTCGTGTTCGGTTACCATGCTGTAATACTGAGTGCAAGCTTGGTCTATTGAAGCAACCATTCCAGCAAAACTTTTTGATCTTTCCGCTGTGTCCCTACATACATCAAAGCCAACCACCATAGTGTTTTTAGGCAAGCTTATCGCCCATGGAGCACCGCCCATTTTACAATTCATTTGAATTGCTACTTTAGTAGCAATCGACATGGGACCCTTGCAGGTCAAGTTCCTTGCTAGTATAACCTGGCAAGGCAGGGCATTGTCAATGTAGCATTTTTTCTTGATACCGTTGTATCTATCACCAGAGTTATTGGTGAGAACTACCATGACCATACTAGGTTTCACTTGAGCATGTACTTTTTCTATTTCAGAAAGGTAGCTATTGATGCGGTCATCTGGAATAATAAAGACCTTTGAATTAATGATCATTGACATGCCCTTGCCAGCTTGAGATAACATTTGTCCGAACTCTTGGGCGGCTTGAGCCACACGGCTTGGAGCAATAATAGCTAGTTTATCAATGTTCACAACATTGTACATAGGAGCAGTTCGCAAATTCCGGGTCCAATCAACTTCTTCTCCGCCTGAATAAAAAATAAATTATTTAACGTGAATACATTATTTTTTTTAAATAAACTTGGATAAAGTATGTCTTCTGATTACTATTTTTTGTAAAATTAACAAAGGCAATTTTTCGATTTTCAGTTCACCGCATCAGAGCTCACAACAAGATTTTCAGTATAGCAATATCAAGCTAAAATTTATATTTAGTCTTACCTTGAATGGGCTGATTATCCCTCAATAATAAAGATTCTGCAGGTAAGACTCTTCCTTGGAATTCAATCAAATTCTCCGCAAGCTTGAGATCCCAACGTCTAATTTCTTCTAAAGCAGCAGGACAGGCTCGAAGACGCTCAGCAAATTGCAAGAGTTTTCGCATGCGGTCTGTAAATTGAATTTATACTTAAATCAATTGACTCAAACCAAACTTTTTATTCTAATTACAATAATGCCGTTTCCGATTGGTAGATTCAGTGCGCACTGAGTGTATTTGCATCCTTTCAATCGACCCGTAGAAGAAAAAGACAGAAATAGAAAAAATTGCACTAGTTCCGCACTAGATCTACCAATCGGAAACGCCATAAATCAAAGTCCTTACCTCCCGCATTAACCCTGGTATGTTCACTCATCGCCCTCATCAGTTGCAAATTGCCCCTTTGCTTATCTGACAATCCTGTCATGATGCAAAGTTCCGGCAGCAAAACAACCAACTCTGGCATGCCTGAGCGGATTTCACGAGCCTTAGACTTTGATATCAATAAGGGCTGATCGTTGTGTTGAATATTCACTTGATATCTCTCTTGAAAATATTTTCTAAACGATATCTGTGTATTATCACGTTTTGTAAACGTGTGGTCAGGGTTTTTGTTGAAGACTACATCATCAATACGGTATGTTCTATTGTTATATTCTGTAAGGACAATTGAACCAATTACTCGTTTAAGGAACTCCTGTCTTGGATCATGATTTGAGCCGCATTCTAGGAGCAAATCATATACTGTGTCCGTTCTTAAGACCTAAATAAGAACATTAATAATTATTAGTCAATTATTATAACGCACTTGCGAAAAGAAAGATTCCTATTAATTGAAAAGGCATATTAGAACTTTTTAATTAAAGTTTCAATATACGTTGTTGAATGCCCCAAAACCTATGACGTATCGCATTTATTCGAAATAGTTACAATCATACATGTAATGTTGACTTTACTGACTTTTAAAATGTCACTTTTTTGATTTTTACTTTCGGCCCACGGGTCGACAGTTTACTTTCGACCCGTGAGCCGAAAGTAAATGAAATTTTTAAAATTAATTGTATTTTTAGACTTTTACTTTCGGCCCACGGGTCGAAAGTTTACTTTCGTCCTGTGGGCCGAAAGTCAATGAAATTGTTAATTATTGTATTTTTTTAGTTTCAATCCAAATAAATATTTCAAAATTCAAATGATTGTAAATAAAATAGTATACATACCTCGGTGAAAAGTTTCATTACTGTCTCGGCTGCGCCTCGGTCTAACTAAAATCTCTCGGCAGTAATGAAATACTTTCCACCTTGGTATGTAATATACTATTGTATACCAAGGCCGCGAAATGTCTTTTTAGTGTACGTAGAGAAAAGTTATCACCGCGGCTGCTTGCGGCCGAGGCAAGATAATCTCGAGAACGCTGAAAACTTTCGCGGTCATGGTATACCTACACACTATTTTTTGTGCAACTATAAAAATTATGTAAAGTTACAGAAAAACTGTATGGATTTGACACATTTTGCACGTCAGGTGTGGCGGCCGCGAAATTGAATTTCGCGACCGGTGTAGCGGCCGTGAAAGCTCATTTCGCGGACGGTTGTACAATTTTTTTAAATTTTTTCATCTTTTAGTAATTTCCTACCAAAAATTCTCTCCTCTCTCTCTATCTAACATATTAAGTTCTTAAGGAAAGTGCCAGTACTATGTCTGTTTCTGCAGAAATCACAAACCAGTCAGAGCGAATTTCATTGGTTGAGAACAGTCAGAAAATTAGTTTCAACCAATGAAATTCACTCTGACTGGTTTATGATTTCTGCAGAAACAGACCTAATATAAATTTTCCCAATCAGTACGTTTCGTCATCTGTTTTGGGACACCAGAAGCTATTAAAGTCTGGAATAGAAAATCAAGTGTCGTATTTCAAGAAATGAATTTGATGATGGTGGCTCAAAAACGGAACATCAGATTTAAAATTTGATGGTAGCATCTTGTAGAGGAGAAAAAATGGTGATAGTTTTCCTTGGCTATTTTTATTTGACATTCATTTGTATTTTCATTCAAAGAAATTATATTTATCTCACTTTTAGCAAATTGATATATTTCTGTCTTTCTGATTCTGAAATAATCATTTTTTCTGCGATTGACAAGAAATGTCAGCATTTTTGACCGGTTGACAGGTCGCATAACTCAATATTCTGGTATTTCAAATATGTTTCAATAGTTGCTAAGGAATCAATGAATAACAATACGGGAAACACTTTTCCGGCCTAGGCCGGGAAAGTGATTCTCGTATTGTTGAATATTTGGAACTAAAAAACAAACATTTAACAGGTATTTAACCGATCGCAGAAAAAATAGTATGTGTATTTCGGTGGAAAAGCACATTCTCGGCCTTCGGTGTTTGCCGGCCTCGGCTACGCCTCGCCCGTCAACTTACCCGTCAGCCGAGAATGTGTCACTTTTCCACCTAAATACACAATATACTATTTTGGCTTAATGACCTAATTCTAATTAATTAACAGGTATTTATTTTTGACATAACCTTAATTTAAATTATTATAATTTGAAAACAATTAGGGAATCCAAACCACGTGACTTTTGCGCCAACCAGCCGGCATTTTGAAATTTTTATGAGGTTAGAATACGGGTTGTTACATGTCAACGATGTCAGAAAAGTGTCAGATTGATAAAGCCTAGTACTCATAACCGCGAAATTCACCCTTTTTTGACATTGCTTGGATAATTTCATGCATGTGCAACTCTCATGGCGCAATTTGTTCCGCTAAAAACTTGCGACTACAGACAGCAGAGGCGCTGTCGTCCAATGCTGTTGTCAGATTTATAATAAAAAGTACAGATTATCGTTTATTTGTTTTAAAAAGCTTCCAACAATGGAAAAGAAAAGTCGTGTACCTCGGTAACATGTAATTCCCAGTAGTACGATTTGAAATTACATTTCTTTTTCAAAATAAATATCCCATGCTTTTGACATGTCGCAGCGTCGCTTCACTTTTATTTTTTCATCATATTTGACAAATTTTGACATATTCCATTTTTTTCAATAATTTGAATCAGAGATTGAAAATTTTCTCCGTTCAAAGCAAAATGGTTTTATCTTGTTGTGTAGCAATGTGTGAAAGCGGAGGGAACAGAGTAAAAATGCATCGAATTCCCAAAAATGATGAGCAGGTATGTTTGAATCCCTACATTATACCAAAATCGGGATTTACCTCCTGTAATTTTACCACTGTAACTTTTCTTTCTATTTAGGTGTTTATTTTATGCCTGCAAAACGTTAGCAATCAAAAAATCTTATTCATTGTAGGTACCCATTATTGATTGTATTGATATCATACTGTAGTTAATAAAGTAATTTAAAATTGTTATTTTTGTATTTAATACATGGATTAATTAGTATGTAACTCTTCGGTATGTGATCAAGAGACTGTTTATCATAATTTTATTTCCACTAGAAACATATTGAATTGTTTAGTGCTAGAGGCAATAAAAAATGATAAACGGATCCTCAAGAAAAAAAATAAATAAAAAGGAGCGCTCTCAAGTTGCTGACTACACACGCGAGAGGGCGTTGTAATCAGGAACAAAATGTTTGTATTGAGTTGCCTATCTATATTATAGGTTCGAGAGAGTTTTGTATCCCTTATCTATGGATAATTTGACGTTTGATTCATGCATAAAACGTCAAATTGTCGAAGCAATCTCAAAAAAGAGCGAATATCGCTGTTATGAGTACTAGGCTTAATCCTGCCAAAAGAAAAACATATGTTTTTTGTTTATTGTTTGCCAACCAGACGCCATTTGGACAGGTCATTGGATTGCCTAATTAAAATAATTCTAGTGGATTTGTCTATTTTCTTTTATTCCACGTGGGTTTTCATTGTAAAGTGAATATGATCTTTTGAGTGTACTCGTCTGATTGGTTGAACTAGTTAAAATGCAGTTAAGTATAAAAAACACAGGATCGTTTTCCTGTGGGGTTTGGTTTCTAAAACGTTTTGTCCCCAGTACATCGACCTTAAAATTTTGTAACTCATGTACACGCCAAACTTCCTGAGGGGCTTCATAACAACAAGTCGGACAATTTTGTTCATATCTTCAACCTGGGCGATGGGACATTGTCGCGCTAGTTCTTCGTGAAGTTGTCATTCTGACGTTCCTGAGAACGATGATACATGTACGGGTAGTTTCAATTCCAATCAACTGTATTTTTGGTTATATTAACGATTTCACATTTGTCGGACAAAAATCTCGTGGCATTGGAGGGGTCGGACACCCTTAACATGTTGCTGTTGGGGGCGACGAAGAACTAGCGTGACAATGTCCCATCGCCCAGGTTGAAGATATGAACAAAATTGTCCGACTTATTATGAAACCGCTCAGGAAGTTTGGCGTGTACATGAGTTACAAAATTTCAGGGTCGATGTACTGGCGACTAGTTCTCTTTCCTCGACAGTAGTCTAGCAGACGAGTCCTTTTTATTTTTAATAATTTTTGCTTTGTATTTTTGGATTCTCCCTTATAGATTTTTCAATATATTTTGCTATCAACGCATATTATCATTATCATTAAGTTTTTACCTGATAAATCTTATCTGTTCTTGAAATATAAATATTATATTTTAATTTTTTTTATCTAATTGTGTGTTTCCATTTTGTGAGAGTATCGATTGGTAATGCCACGTTTTCCTGAGGTAAGTCAATTCAGACTTTTGGACTTTAAATAGGTACTGCTGCTCTGGTTTTCAGAATCAATTGTTAGTGTGGGAATATTGGACTATTTGTTCTAAATAGAGTCGGTGAAAACCAAATTTGTGCGTCCATTCCTATAAACTTTTTATTGAATCCAGGCAGAGGCCTGAATAGCCATTTTCTGTTTGACTCCCTCAATTATTATCTCGACTTAAGGGTGTTATTTTTTTTTTAATAGAAATCCAGACAGTTCAAAAAATTCACTTAAAAAGTTTTAATTAAAACATCTCAAGAATTTTGACATATTCTGGATTTGATTGATTTCACCGTCAGGTTTATCTTGTAGTATATCTATAGTAGCTACCCTAATTTGAAAAGAAAATTTTGTCTATCTGGGGGAGAGTCCAAAGATTTAATTTCTTATTGTTTTACCTTATTTTGTTCATATTTTTGCCTGCCAGAGCTACTGCAGGAAAGCAGCATTTTGCTTAATCATAACGAGCATTTTAATTTAATCTTGTTATTATTTTAATTTTATTATTATCTTACCATTATTCTTAATTATTTAATTATATTTTTTTTATATTAAAATATATTTTTTTTTGCTTGCAAGAGCTGTTCATACCTGATTCTGTTGGCAGGGAGTGTCTGTATAATAATCGTTTTATATTAAATTTCGATTTCAATTTCCTTTGCAAGACACTCACTTTTTGACAGAATTCAGGGATTTAATATTCCAAATATTGGTGAACCTGATACTGCCTTATTCTTTTCTGGGTACCTACTCCACATAAAGATCACTGTTTGGAGTCTTCATCAGCTGGAGTGACGCTACCCCAGCATTCTATCCTCTTCCTGGATACAGGAAACAACACGAAGAACTCCAGTTCACGAAAGTGAAACCCCAACACCTATTGAAGAGCTCTGGATTGGAAAGGTACTTGGTATCAGATTCACCGGAAAAACTAAGCTGCCAACACTTAAATTTTACAGAAAGTAACATTGACTATTACAAGTTACTACATAACATTGTAAACAAAATAAAATAAGTTTGTTGGATTTTGAGTGGTTTCATTTGCACATAAAGGGACTACACGTTATCTTAATTTTTTTAATTCCACGATCCGAGGTTATCTTGTCTTAAACTGACAATTTCTATTTAATTTGTAACAGCTTGGCATTCTGGCATCTAGTGCCTTTTCCTGGCCTCCCCATATCACGGACATTTGCAATCGAGCAAACTATTTCTATTTAAAAAAAATATTCTCCAAATACCCCAGGAAGAATTCACCAAACTGTTTAATGTCTACTGCAGTCCAATACTTGAATATGCAGGTCAGGTGTGGAACCCTGATCTGATAAGAAATAAGAACGACTTGGAAGCTGTACAGGGTGGTTGATTTTCGATAGTTTTATAGGGTACAGCCAAAAGGGCCGAAGACACTGAGAAACTGATATACGTTCCCCGATAATACACGCATTCTGCGACAAAATAATTGCTGCGGATGAAAATAGAACCAGTCCTATTTCACGGCGACACGACTGCGACAAAATCATCGCACGACAACAGTGCGCGCTTACCCTTAGTGTGTCATGCGATGGTGTAGTCAGATCTTGGCCAACTAGATAGGTTTGCGAGGCTGTTTTCCAAAATCAACTGTTTTTTATAACGGAGATATAGAAAAAGTGCTAAAAGGAAAAATACGTCTTTTTTTATGTAGAATCCAGTGGCATACTTACAAAAAATATGGGGGCTTTATCTTCTGCCGAGATATTCGAAAAAACAAAGATTTTGGGAAAAAAAATTGCGAGTTCAACGATACATAACACATGATATTTTGTTTTGGCCTAAATGGCGAAAGTAACAAAAAACATTTTCCACTACTACAAATAAAAATTTGTAAAAAATAAATTTAGACAAAAATGAAAAAGGGATTTACCAGGGAGATTCCTCGTCGCCGCTTCTTTGCTGCATAGCCTTGTTTCCTCTAAGCTCCATCCTGAATAACTCGATTACAGGATACCGATGCAAGAACGAAAAACAGAAAATAAATCACCTTCTGTATGTTGACGAGTTGACGACCTAAAGTTGTTAGTGAAGAATGAGGCTGAACTATCAGGACAATTAGAAATAGGTAGTAAAAAGGTTTAGTGACGACATTAGAATGGAATTTGATCTTGAAAAATGTGCGAAGGCAACTTTCCTAAATTGGAAGGTTCAAGCGAAAGAGAATATTCAATTAGTTGATGAAACAATAATACAATCCTTAGAACAACATGAAGCTCACAAATATCTAGGCATAGATGAGCATAACGGAATACAGCATGAAAAAATGAAAAGCAAGATGAAATGTGAATATTATTGACGAACGAAAGAATTCCTTGAAACCGAATTAAATGCAAAATGCCAAGCCACAGCTTTTACATCTCTAGCAGTACCTGTCTTAACATAGAGCTTTGGGATCGTCAAGTGAACCAAAGCAGAAATGAGGAAAATTGATTGTACGGCAAAAAAACTACCTACTAACCATGAATGGAGCACTCTACCCCAGAGCGGATGTTGACCGTTTGTACATTACACGGAAAGAGGGAGGAAGAGGAATGACAAGCTTCGAGAACAGCCACAATATCACTATGGCAGGTTTAGAAAACTACTTGAAGCTGAAGAAAAAAGACAAATACCTAGGGATAGTATACCGACAACAACAAATAAACCTGGACTAGACTGATAAAGACACAAAATATGATACTGAGCAAATAGAATCCACACCAACAAAAAAGAAACAGAAACCAAAAGAGTAAAAACCGTCCGTCAAATATAAAATGAGACACCAGGCAAAACAAGAACAAAAAGAAAAACTGAGGAAAAACACCATGCATGGCCAAATTTTACAGGAAGCCGAAAAAGATCATTAATAAGAGCCAAACGTGGAAATGACTTACTCATGCTGATTTGAAATCCGTGACGGAATCACTAATAACCGCTTGCCAGGAGCAAGGCATCGTGACGAATTATGTGAAGGCGAAAATAATGAAAACCGGTACTGAACCAAAATGTAGACTGTGCCGGTCATTTGATGAAACCATTCATTACGTCGTGCCTGGCTGCCCGTCGCCTGATCCTAGCTAAACGAGCTTATTTGGACCGTGCAAAGCTTACGGACTACGAACACAGGAACATTCTAGATCCTGTTATAGAAACACCTGAAATAACCATAATCTGGGATACTCAAGTACAGACAATCGATGCTAACAAACCAGACATTATACTGAAAGATAAAAAACAGAGAACTTGCGTCCTTATTGATGTTGATGTTGCCATACCATCAGACTACAACATCACTCAAAAAGAAGCTGAGAAAAGCATAAAATAAAAAGACCTGCAGATTTAGATTCAACGAATGTGGAACCTGAGAACACAGCTTATACCCATAGTGATAGGAAACACAGTTGTATCCAACTATACAAACGAAATTATTGAAGATTTTCCTGGTCATCATAATATACTAAGGGCCATATTCTCCGTAGTTCATAAAGCCTGGCTTAGTGAAAACACTTGGCTTTTTGTGTGGCAAAGCTGAGCTTTTCCACTAAGCCAGGTTTTATGGGCTACGGAGAATATGGCCCTATGCATGCAAAAGGCAGTAGTGCTGAGCACAGCTGAAGAAAAGCTGTGAGATAAGAGACAATAATAATAATAAAATATTAAAAACAGTAAAATTATATTTATACCTATTGCAAAAAAAAGTATAACAAAATTGAAAGCGAAAAACAAATGTAAATTTAAGTCTTTTAACTCATGAAAACGGCCTTAGATTCCATATTGTATACCGTTTGCCTTTTTTAGTTTGACACTTTCTGTATGGGGAGCGAGGGAAGGAAGAAGCAAAAACAGGTGTGAGGTCAGGTGACCATTGGCGTACTAACGAAGGGAGCCAGCAGCTCACATTCCCTTAAAAGTATCAGATTATAAAAGTCGGACTCTACGTGTGATGTAATCATTGTATCAGGATAAGTACAAGTTTCTTGGGCACGGGCACGTATAAAGACGTGTTTTCTGCATAAACTTACACCGTTAGATAGTGGACTTTGAGTGTAAATCCGTTATCTTATACCAAGCTGACAATAATAATCTAAGGAGAAGAGTTTTCCTTTATATTTTTTTTTTTCCAAGTGATCAACCTGGCTAGTTATTGAAGCTAAAATGAGGCTCTTCCTCAGGAATACCAACTGGAAAATAAAAATTATAAAATTTCAACTTACTTTGAATGATAAATCCACATTCAACATAATATTCTGCTCGTATTGTTTCATCGAAGTTAAAAAGCCAGGCCACAGCTCCAAATTGTGATCACGAATGGAAACTTTGAGGTTTGGATCGAAATAATTTCTTCCAAGTAGTTGGAAGTTCATGTAATTGAAACATTTTCTAATGATAACATTGAAAACCTGTAGGTAGTGGTAATCACCCCAATGCACTTCTCCTACCAAGCGAATTTCTACTTTGATGTTTTCCTGACCTAAAAAAAAAATAGTTTAGAACAAAATTTTGTTCTAGAAGCAGTCTATCAAATAAGCTGAATTGGGTAATCAAAAATTTGCACTTACTCCTCTCATCTTGCGACACAAATTCACATGGTTCAGGGTATAGACGATTCGGGGTATACAAAACCGTACCATCAAATAAATATCCAGTTACATTAAAGGGTCTGATACCATTTGCAACTAATTTCTTCCTTGTCCTGGTATCCTCAATGGATGGATTGAAATCCACACGATATTGGTTCAAGCTCCATTTTGTAGCTGATATAAGTTGGAAATAGTTAGCCTTAAGTTGGATGACCGTTCCATCACTGCCCTTCTTTGTTTTACAGTTGACAGGCTTTGTACTTATAATTTCAGTTCGGTTGGTGCAGCCTCTGACGTTGCCACTTCCTCCTAGTCTTGTCTGACTGTTGTCAACGTCACTGCCTTCTTCAAATGATAAGAAAAAGAAATGATAAGTGAATTGTGTTTATTTAGGTACTGAGACAAAATTGTAAAGTGTGGCTCTAGTTTTGGATCAGAGATAATTGATAAACATCATGAATATTTTATAACATATGTATATGTAGAAAAAGATTATTGGAACTGCAACGTTACAGGAGGAAAGAATGTACAATTCTCTTTCAAGATTTATTGTAAGATGTTAAAATAACCCAGTTAAATGGTAAAATATACTTAAAAACTCAATCACTGATAATTATTCTATAAGGCGACAACCCACTTCAGTGAGTCATTTAGAAATTGCATATACAGAATAGCATGCTTTATGGTATATCTATTAAGTATTACTTAAAAATTTTAACAGTAATTGGTGCTTGAAAAATAAACCTAGAAACAAGACACATATCTCGAAAAAACGAAAATTTACCTTTACTGGCTTCGCTGGTGACTTGTTGACCTTCTGGGCCTCCCAATCTGGATCCACGCCCTAAACTTATTGAAGTGGGATGAGTAATTTCGGGTGCTGGTGGCCTGGCAGCCCACCCTGCTTGCTGCTGGGGTTGTGCTCCTGGGACTCTGGCATCCCAAACGCAGGGCAGTCCTGGTTGTATTGGCGGAGTATGTTGTGGTAATGCTCCCTGTTGTGGGCGAAGTAGTTTTGGAGCTGCGGCACGTTGCTGAGGCACAATACCTCGGGCTCGTCCCCTATTTCCTCTGCCTTTGGTTTTAGACTCCACGTCTCTATAATTAATATACATTTTAAAATTCAAATAAAATAATCGTGAATAAGTTATGAAAAAATTAGCGAGATATGCCTGTAACAGTAGGTACATACAGTAGTATATCAATGCCTAAAAACAAATGGTTGGACAGATGAGGTTTTATGAATCAGACGAAGGTGTGTCTAAGAAGGTAAAGTCAACTTGTATTGCTATTCAAGAAGTTATTTGGTAACTCCCACTTCAGATTTTTACAATTTTTTATCAAAAAAATCCTATAATAACAGACTTATCATTAACCTTCCAAAGGAATTACATTCTGTTTTTTTTTTTTTAGGTTTGAACTACTACACCTTTTCCATGGATAATTGCGAATATATCACTTAATATTAGGAATGGTAAAATAATATTGCGAATTAATCACTTCTAATTGAGAATAGTCAGTTGATATTGCGAATATATAAATGTAATTAGGAAAAGTTAAATGTAATTGCGAACACATCAAATGTAATTGAGAATAGTTAAGTGTAATAGACCTATCTATTTTTACCTGGTATGCGCGCGCAACACGAGGCAATGTCTTTTTATTGGCTAGCTAATGCAGGTGTGAGGTGATCATTTTGCACGCTGGGCATCTCTTTTTCCTTGTTCATTGCACGTGATCTGACAAGAATAAATCTAAAGTTGATATTCAATTTGACAAGTGTCATTAAGAAGTTGTTTGACATTTTCATTGACAAATACGTTGCACAACACGCGGTTTTTCTCCTTTTCTTTTTATCCTGTGCAAATAAGAATGACGGATTGCTATACGTAAGTCTAACATAATTTGGTACGTTTTGCCTCGTCTTGCGCAATGAGCGTTCTGTGTCTTTTTTTATTTAATGATGTTTTCGTATTATTACCTCTTTGTCTGGTAAAATAGATAGGTCTATTGCGAATATATCATATGTAATTGGGGATAATCAAATAAAATTAATAACAAATCAAATGTAATTGAGCCTTTCAATTTTTCAATCGACATCTGTATATTGTTGCTAAAATAACTAACTCTTTTGTTGAGGAAAGCTTATGTTCACATATACATAAAGGTAGTTTTGTGTCAAAAGAAAGGAGACACAAAAATGGAATTTCCGTGTATGCAGATCGACAATGACGAGAAAGAGTCGACAGAGAAAATATTTGATAAAGTCTTGATAAAATATTTGATTAATTCGCAATTACATTTGAAATATTCTAAATTTCATTTGATTATGCCCAATTGCGTCTGATATATTCCCAATTACACTTAACTTTTCTCAATTACATTTGATATATTCGCAATTACATTCAACTTTTCTCAATTACATTCAATATAGTCGCAATATCACTTGACTATTCGCAAAATCCATTGATGAATTCGCAATATAATTTACTATATTCGCAATTTTATGTGGAAAAGGTGTAGAAATTTGGTAAGCTAATTCTAGTTGGGTAAGTTTGGTATTGGACTCTGAGCATTTGGCTGTTATTACTTTTTGGTATTTGGTGGCCCCTGGGAAAGCCTAATGCCATAGTTGTCCTGGATCCCATTTGTTACATGATTACACTATTAAGGATAAGTGCCGCAGTGGTGGCATACCGAATGCCAGCGAGAAATGGTTGAATTATAATTGGCTGTTGGATGTCAGCTGCACAATATGGTTTCAAGTGAATTCAGCCTAATAGGGCATATAAGAATAGCTGAATGCTCTCTAATTTGCCCAGGCAAAATTCTTTTTGTGTTTTTCAGATGGAGAGTTAAGTGATCAGATTCTAATTGGTAGTAGAAATGTTCTTGCTTGAAGAAGAAAATTCCAGAAGAGGAACAGTGCAAGTATGTTTTTTTTTTGTGTCTAGTTTAGGTTGGAATCATCATCATCACACAGCCTTCTGGGTCCACCACTGGAGATAGGCTTCCTCAAGTATTATTCACAGTTCTAGGCAGTTACAATCTGGTTTGTCTTGATTATTTTCCGAGGTCATCATTCTATTATAGGTAGGAATTCTTCGCAGTTTTCTGGACCGTCAACATTAACATGTCAAGCCAATTTCATAAACTGGCTTTCGCCCAAGAAAGAACACAAATGACCATCTTCAATGCCTAAGACCCTTGGTTGGTATTTACAGAGTATTCAAATCAACCGAAATTTTATGGATCATTCGCTGGGTGTGTCTAAAAAAGGTAATTTTCTAACTTCAACATTATATTAAAATGTTTACTATTTTTGACCTGCCAATTTTCACACTTTTAACAAACTCTTTCATGAGCTATGATCCTAACTGCCCTTCAGGTCCTAGAAAAGTCCATGTATCCTTTTATCAACCTTCCAGAGAAAAACTGTTTTTTTTTTCAGGTGTGATAGGTACGGGAGCCAGAACCTTGGTCAGCTACTTCTGGTTGGGTGAGTGCGTGGTATCGGACTTATTTGAGCATTTGGCTGTAACTATTTCCAATAACTTTATCTTTAAATGATTACTATTTTTTACTAATCGAAATTGCGTTCCACTGATATCCAGGACAACAGGCTCTGTAATGAAAGAGCGCTGCACAAAAGAGCGCTGTAACAAAAGAGCGCTGTAACAAAAAAGCGCTGTAATAAAAAAGCGCTGTAACAAAAGAGCGCTGCACAAAAGAGCGCTGCACAAAAGAGCGCTGTAACAAAAGAGCGCTGTAACAAAAGAGCGCAGTAACAAAAGAGCGCTGCACAAAAGAGCGCTGTAACAAAAGAGCGCTGCACAAAAGAGCGCTGTAACAAAAGAGCGCTGTAACAAAAGAGCGCTGTAACAAAAGAGCGCTGCACAAAAGAGCGCTGTAACAAAAGAGCCCTGCACAAAAGAGCGCTGTAACAAAAGAGCGCTGTAACAAAAGAGCGCTGTAACAAAAGAGCGCTGTAACAAAAGCACACTGTAACAAAAGAGCACTGCACAAAAGAGCGCTGTAAGCTGTAACAAAACAAAAATTCACCAAAAACGTGAAAAACCCTTTTGTAAATGTAATACCTTGAAATTTACATTATTTTTTTTCTTGGATTGCTCGCTCCGCTCGCCAAATGTCAAAGATAAGATCCTTGGAAACGTGAATCCCCCAAAAACGTAAAAGTAAAAACCATGCCCCATGAACAAAATAGCATCTTTTTGAAATTTAAAATATGTTTAAGTTTAGTATTTCATCAAATATCTCAAACAGAAAATAAATACAAAATAACACAATCTAACCTAAACTGACCCGTCCTCGGAATGTGACCCAATCTCTGTTCCTGAACTTCATCAAATTGCTCAAACAGAAAATGAATACAAAATAACCCAATCTAACCCAAATTAACCCGTCATCAGAATGCGACCCAATCTTTGTTTCTGAACTTCATCAAAATGCTTAAACAGAAAATGAATCAAAATAACCCAATCCAACCCAAATTAACCCGTACTCGGAATGCGAACTAATCTCTGTTTCTAAATTTCATCAAATTGCTCAAACAGAAAATAAATACAAAATAACCCAATCTAACCCAAATTAACCCGTCATCAGAATGCGACCCAATCTTTTTTTCTGAACTTCATCAAATTGCTCAAACAGAAAATAAATCAAAATAACCCAAGTTAACCCAAACTTCGGAATGTGACCCAATTTCTGCCTTTTTTACTTAATTCACCTTTTTGAAATCCAGATAGAGCTCTTTTGTCACAGCGCTCTTTTGTGCAGCGCTCTTTTGTTACAGCGCTGTTTTGTTACAGCGTTCTTTCATTACAGTGCTCTTTTATTACAGCGCTCTTTTGTTACAGCGCCCTTTTGTTACAGCGCTCTTTTGTGCAGCGCTCTTTTGTTGCAGCGCTCTTTTGTGCAGCGCTCTTTTGTTACAGCGCTCTCTTGTTACAGCGCTCTTTTGTTACAGCGCTGTTTTGTTACAGCGCTGTTTTGTGCAGCGCTTTTTTGTGCAGCGCTCTTTTGTTACAGCGCTCCTTTGTTACAGCGCCCTTCTGTTACATTACATTTACAAAAGGGTTTTTCACGTTTTTGGTGAATTTTTGTTTTGTTACAGCTTACAGCGCTCTTTTGTGCAGTGCTCTTTTGTTACAGTGTGCTTTTGTTACAGCGCTCTTTTGTTACAGCGCTCTTTTGTTACAGCGCTCTTTTGTTACAGCGCTCTTTTGTGCAGCGCTCTTTCCTTCCAGAGCCAGGACAACAACATCATGGTTTGATTATTCCTTTTTGGTATTTGGTGGCCCCTGGGAAATCCTTATGCCATAGTTGTCCTGGATCCCATTTGCTACATGATTACACTATTTAGGGTAAGTGTGGCAGTGGTGGCACTACCGAATGCCGGCGAGAAATGGTTGAATTATGATTGGCTGTTGGATGTCAGCTGCACAATGTGTTTTCAAGTGAATTCAGCCTAATGGGGCATATAAGAATAGCTGAATGCTCTCCAAACTTTCCCAGGCAAAATTGTTTTTGTGTTTTCCAGATGAAAGAGTCAAGTGATCAGGTTCTATGTGGAGCAGAAATATTCTTGTTTGAAGAAGATTATTCCAAAAGAGGAACAGTGCAAGTAGTATGTTCTTTTTTGTGTTTAGTTTAGGTTCGAATCATCATATATCATCATCACGCAGCCCCCTGGGTCCAGGTCTTCCTTTTCTAGGCAGTTGCAATCTGATGTGTCTTGATTCTTTTCAGCTCGCTCATCATGCCATTAGGTAGGGAGTTTTCGCAGTTTCCTGGACCATCCGCGCGCCTCAATCTAGCAACATGTTTGGCCCACAAATGACCACCTTCAATGCCTAAGAACCTTTGGCGGCTGTTTTGGAAAATTCAAATGAACAGAGGTTTTATGGATTAGACGCTAGTTTGTCTATAAAAAGGTAATTTTCAAACTTCAACATAATTTTTCGAGAAGTTATTTGGTAACTTCTGCTATACATATGATTACTATTTTTTAACCTGCTAAGTTTTTTGATTGAAAAAATACAAGATACAAGAAAAAATTCACCTTTTCAACAGACTGTTTCATGAGCTATGATCCTAGCTGCCCTTCAGAAAGACCACAGGTCCTAGGAAAGTCCATGCATGCTTTTATCAACTTTCCTGGGTTTCAAAGGGAACAAGGAGTCGAGTGATACCTCTTCCAAAAGAGCGTTCAATTTTCTTTCATTTGATGTCATTTGGGAGAAAATTGAACGCTCTTTTAAAACAGGTCTTACTCGACCCCCTGTTCCATTTGGAATGGTAAGGGTTGGTCCCAACCCCCCTAGAGGGTTAAGTTAGTGCTGAAAATGTTTCAAATACTCACACGAAATTAGATATCCAGCCTGTGTCGTTTCAAATAGTATCCCTTGTATAAATACAATATTAAAGTACGAAATAAAATTATAAATTATGTACCTACTAATGGATTTACAAGTAAACAATATGGCAAAAGCTGAAATTCTTGCGCGTAATTTTTGCATGTATTGTTCAATTGGTGTTGCATAGGTGACAAACAAATACATTATTTTTCAATGTAAATTAATATTGTAGAATGGTTTTCGTATCTAGATATCGATAACGCAACAAGTAAATTCATTTACTGAAACAAAAAATAACAAGATTTTTGGCCTCCACCAAATAATGTAATTAAAAAGTGAAAACCTGTGCTATAAACCCATTTAGTATGGTTTAATAGGTATAGGAAAGGTACCCACCTAATGAGTTTAGATTTGCAGAGTAGGTATAGTAGAGAATTTAATTTTTTATCATTTCAAATGACTAATTTAATATCCGGTACAATGTCCAATTAATGCTGTTATGGTCGATATAAAACTATCTACTGTAATGAATTATTGTATAGTTAATTAAGAACCAATTAGCATAATAAAACAAAAAAGTGTGACCTCTAAACCAATATTCGAGTCTCGTCAGCCACCAATTCGAAAAACAACAACATTAAACTTTAAAAGTGGTTTTATGCCATTACATGGTTTGAAGAATTATTCCACATTTTTGTTTAGTTTCAAATTAGCGAACAAATAAAATGACGATACAGGTTGACAGCTAAATGCTTATCAACGTTGGCTTAGTACTATTAGTAGGTACTGGTACTCATTATAACGATGATGACGACAAGTCGTCGTCGTGAATATTAATTTTTATTGAAATGAAGATAACAATTATAATGTTCGACGTGTAATAATTAATCCATTATCAAGCGCGCGGGGCATGAATGCATTCGTTTGTGTGTTTTATTTGGTTCAAATTGTTTTTCTTTTGTGAGTTCTGCGACTTTGTAAAGGAATTTTTGGAAGGAGGTGAAGAGAGATGAGACTTATTTGAAAGACTGCTAAAAAAAGGTAAACAGACTTCAGAATTGTAGATGAGTAGAAATATGTTGGACTAAGCATAGGACATTAGGTAAAAGTTGAAGATAGTTTGGAAAAATCCTGAAATTTTACATTTTAATTTATAATAATTATTGGGTATATAAATAATGCTTTAAGTATTGATTCATTCCGACTTATAAGGTTATGCATGGTCGGCGTTAATATTTGTCACCTCCCTATCATGTGAATCCAGTGTACGTGTTTTATATCATATTCGATATTTCTGACTTTAGAAATGTAATGGTATATTATATAATAGGTGTAGTAACTATTTAGGTTACTACCGCACGTGAGAGAAATTTGCAAACCAAGCCGGTGAGGCGAGGTTTGCAATCTCTAAGGACGATAATATCCTAATTACCATACGTATTATATGCATTATTTTATCTACAACCGTACGGTAACAAAATATCCGAAAGAAGTTTGAAAAATTATAAAAAAATATAGTGTGTCACCTTGAAGGTGACAAGCTCGCCTGACGGCTCGCTCATGCCAGGATTAAAGGTCCAGTAGGGCCCCGAAGTCCAGCGGGGCCCTACTTTCGAAATTGAGGCTTCTGCTGGTCAAGGGCCCGTGGGCAAACAATAAATATTACATGCACTAGTCTTTCGCGTCATGTTTCGCAAAATTTATTAAATTAAAAATAAATATAGAACAACAATGCAGAAGGAACGCCTGTCTTCATTACCATTGATATGCATAGAAAGAGACATTCTGAAGGAATTAGTTACTACGAAAAATAGTTATTTATGCAACAAGTGTGTAAAGTGAACCCTTTTTCACGAATGTAAATTTTGACGCACGAGCCAAAGGCGAGTGCGTCAATCACATGAGTGAAAAAAGGCTTTACGCACGTATTGCACAGAAAAAATTTTCTACTACCAATCAACTATGTATAAAAAAATAAATTTAGACAAATTCTTTACGCGTGCGTGAAGTGATTTAGTCTCTTAGTTAGTAGTACAGGGTGTCCCACACGATTTTTTCCAAATAATAATTTCGGAACGCATTATCGTAGTATGTTCCACTGTATAATTTTTTATCATTTTCTTTAACAAAGCCTTAACAAACATAGCATTGACGATTTTGTTATTTAATTTTCTAACGTAAAATGCCTAATATACCATGAGTTTACCTACATTTAAGATTCGAAAGTTGATGTCACTTGACCGAAATTGAAGCGAAAGTGGTGAAATTGGATGACGATGGTAGAAGCGGCATAAAAACTTACCCACATCCTCAAAAATTCAATTATATTGGATGATGCGTTTCGAAGTTATTACCTGGGAAAAACATCGTGGGACACCCTGTATATTTTTTTGCACTTAATTCATGAAGGGCCCCCTATAACTTGACTAGCCCCGGGCCCCATGAAAGCTTAATCCGGCCATGGGCTCGCTAGTCATTTTCTTTAATCGCCAGTAAAAACTGTTTTACCTAGCTAATAATGTAATAGTATATTACATACCGGGTAAGGAAGTGTTCCATTACTGTCGAGAGATTGACTATTATTTTGTTCATCTCGACTCGAGACATAAATGAAAACTGTCCTCCGAGGTTTGTATACTAATTTATTTGCAAGTACACCATTATTCAGAAATTAGTTATATCATTTTTGATCAACCATCCAAGGACCTTTTTTTTTCAGTTATACATGTATTAAACCCCATACTTTGTGAGTGGCTTGTTTACATCAAGTCCGACAACTTTTTCCTCTACGACTTTTCTCCGAAATGGCACATGCACGCAGGCGACGCGCAAACATGTCCATCTGACGTAGCTATGTTTCCTGATACATGTAAATCTAATTTTACGAATAATGTTTGATCTTTATGTCTAACGGCCAATGTACTATAAAGTTAAACAAAGCGGCTTCTGCGATATAACGTTATTGTAGTGGTAATAGCGTTAGCGTACGTTAAGGTCAAATTCCCGAAATTTCAGATCAAAAGCACCACCGATCTAGAAATTTCCCCACGGCATCGAAAAAATTCCCAGGCTCAGTTGCCCCGTTATAACTGACAGACAGACTATCAGCTTTGGCTGATAGCTTTTAGAAAGTGACACATAAAGCCTCGCCATTAACACCTGTACTACCTACCACCCAAGCCCACAGTCAGATAGTACACTTAACGTACGCTAACTCCAACGCTATTACCATTACGATAGCGTTATATCGCAGAACCCGCTTTGTTTAACTACTCTATAAGACTACTTTAACAACTTATGAAAAATATTGAAAACTTTAAATAGTTATTTTTGTATCTAGTGCGCGAAATGCTACTTTGGTGATCGAGAACCGATTTGTTTAACTAGGCGCAGCCGAGTTAAAAAAATAGTCGAGATCACCAAAGTATTTCGCAGGTCTATAAACCTAGCAGTCCTGAGCTCCTAAATAGTCGAAGAAAAAATAGAATTGATTAATTATTAACTGAGTTACAGATTTTTTTCTAATTATAAGGGGACTACTGGCTTTACGTCTACTTGTTGGTGTGTCAGAATGGCCAAAAAAACTTTGGGATCTATATAATAATTAGGTGCTTTTTAGGTGCTAATTAGGGCCTTTAATTAAAAATTAGGAGCTCCTCTAATTTTTGAGAAAATCAAATAAAACTAAGGGATTGTTAGGTTTATGAAAGCTAGTAGGCCCCTATAGTAAAAAATATTATTCCAAAATTTTCTTTTTTATCAGAATTAGGTGCTTTTTAGCTGCTCCTAAATAGTCGAGGAAAAAATAGAATTGATTAATTATTAACTGTTACAGATTTTTTTTTAATTATAAGGGGACTGCTGGCTTTAAGTTTACTTGTTGGTGTGTCAGAATGTCAAAAAAACTTCGGGATCTATATAATAATAAGGTGCTAATTAGGGCCTCTAATTAAAAATTAGGTGCACCTCTAGTTTTTGAGGAAATCAAAAAAAAAAAAACTAAGGGATTGCTAGGTTCATGAAAGCTAGTAGTCTTCTATACTGAAAAATATTTTTCCAGAATTTTCTTTGTTATCAGAAATAGGTGCTTTTTAGGTGCTCCTAAATAGTCGAAGAAAAAATAAAATTGATTAATTATTAACTGAGTTACAGATTTTTTTTAATTATTAGGGGACTGCTGGCTTTACGTTCACATGTTGGTGTGTCAGAATGGAAAAAAACTTCGGGATCTATACAATAATTAGTGCTTCTTAAGTGCTAATTAGGGCCTCTAATTAAAAATTAGGTGCTCCTCTAGTTTTTGAGAAAATCAAATAGAACTAAGGAACTGCTAGGTTTATGAAAGCTAGAAGTCCCCTATAGTAAAAAATATTTTTTCAAAATTTTCATTTGTATCAGAATTAGGTGCATTTTAGGTGCTCCTAAATAGTCGAAGAAAAAATAGAATTGATTAATTATTAACTGAGTTACAGATTTTTTTTAATTATTAGGGGGCTGCTGGCTTTACGTTCACATGGAAAAAAACTTCGGGATCTATATAATATTTAGGTGCTTTTTAGGTGCTAATTAGGACCTCTAATTAAAAATTAGGTGCTCCTCTAGTTTTTGAGAAAATCAAAAAAAACTAAGGGATTGCTAGGTTTATGAAAGCTAGTAGTCCCCTATAGTAAAAAATATTTTTCCATAATTTTCTTTGGTATCAGAATTAGGTGCTTTTTGGGTGGTCTTAAATAGTTGAGGAAAAAATAGGATTGATTAATTATTACCTGAGTTACATATTTTTTTTTAATTATAAGGGGAATGCTGGCTTTACCCTTAGATTTTGCACCCACACCTATCTCACCTGTTTGAAGAGATAGGTACCTAGAAATGAGAATGAATTATCAGAAAATTTTCAATGAGGTTAGTTACAAATATACCGGAACAGGGTGTCACAAAATTGTGACAGAGCAAAGTTAAACTTTTTTAAATAGAACATTCTGTATATTATTGACATATTGGATCAGCCTTGCAAACCTAATTCCAAATATACTAGGTTTTTTCTTAGGATTATTCATAGTACAGTCGGAAAAGTATCACGTCCACGAATATGGTTATGAGGAATGGAAATAATATTCAGCTTTCTTGGACTTATTTATTAAATTTAAAAATCAAATAGCCAACGTTTCGATGCTGGTTAGCATCATCATCAGGGCTGCAAAAAACGAAACAATACAAGTTTAACAAGAAAAAAGGACATTGACATCAAAAATAAAAAATTAAAAAATTTAAAAAAAATTAAAAAAATTGTTGTTTAACTAATTAGGGCTATGTGACGCAAAAGGCGATTTTATGACATACAACACATTAAAACAAGCTAAAAATGATCACATCATCATACAAAAATTAATTAAAATCACTAAAAGATATCACAAAGACACAATCATTATCCTAAAAACGTTAACACTTAAAATAATATCCTTAATTAAAGCTCAAAAAGACTCACCCAGATTATTCTAATTGAAAATCAAACACATTGTATAACTGCATACGTTAAAAATGTTCGTATTATTATGGACTACCATCATTGCCGCAAAAATCTAAGGTACTGATTTGATGTTAATTTTCTAGGTGTGGTATGAATTTTTTTGGTAGTGTAGGTATACCTATGTTTATTATGTATTTTTTGAACAATTACTTATTATATTATTATAAATATAATTATTCATAGTAGCTCGGGGAAAAAAAAAGGAAGAAAAAGGGATGAAATAATAAACTTAAAAACCTATTATATTTGGAATCAGGCTTGAAAGGCTAATCCAATATGTCAATAATATACGGAGTGGTCCATTTGAAAAAGTAACTTTGCTTCACCACACTTTTGTAACACACCCTGTATACTTGTAACCAGCTTCGATGCAAATAAGTTTCTGATATTATTACTAATAATATCAATTAAAACCTACTACTTTTACATTTGAATTTTCTGGGTATCTCTTCAAACAAAGGTGTGGGTGCAAAATATAGACAATCACCCGGTTAAACCTATATTTTGAACTTTTTCGGTTTTTTTCCTAAAATTAATAATAATGACTAAATATAGATCTATCTAATTATTATTGAAGACACCCAAATAAAAATATTTCACTTGCAATGAACCTATACACAAAAACATTTGTTTACCATCTGTACACTAATTTAGCTTTCAGATAAGATAAAGTTCCATTTTTATCTACAACATTTTTAAACAATTCATCAGGACGTAATTGTGTAAAACGGTCACAAGCAAACTGTGTATCTGGTTTTTACAATAGAACGCACAATAAAATTTATTGAATTTTTGCGGTATTTTTATCAATTTTATTGTTGTTCTTTACGTGATGTTGTGAGCCGTTGCCTGAATGTGTAATTAGTGAATTAGTCATTAAGAGATAAGGTAATAATAATTCGTTATTATTAGTAGGTACTTACATGTCCCCTTTCCCCTTCCCAAATCCTATAATAGTTTCAGAAAGAAATATATTTATTTTATAGTTGCAACTCTAGAACAATGTATTTTATCAAGTTTAAGCAGTTTCCTTGAAAAATTATTACGTTTGACCAAAACATTTAAATTGCAATTAATCAGGATAGGATAGGTATATACTGGGTGATTGTCTATATTTTGCACCCACACCTAAAGTCTGTTTTTTTTTTTTTAAGATAATTCCCCAAGTCAAAAATTTAGTAACTATGTTGGCAGCACAAGCCTTTTCTACATAAAAAATTTGATAGCATTGACAATTTTACATTGTATTGCCAACATAATGTCATTTTGACTTTTATCTTAAAAAAAAAAAACAGATTTTATTTCACCGATTTGAAGTAATACCCAGAAATGTCAAATGTGAAAGTTGTAGGTAATATCAGAAACTTTGCAATGAAGTTAGTTACAAGTATATAGGGTGTATCACAAAAGTGTGACGTAACAAAGTTATATTTTTTTAAATGGAACGCCTCGTATATTATTGACCTTTTGGATTAGCCTTCCAAACCTGATTTCAAATATACTAGATTTTTCAGATTTTTATATTTTGCTGGTGGTCTCTAGAGTTCACCTTTCTCAATAAAAATGCAATTATTCCACCCCTTTTCTCTTATTTTTTCCCGGACTACTAGGAACGAACCTAAAAAACCTAGTATATTCGGGATCAGGTTCAAAAGGCTAATCAATTAGGTCAATATTATACGGGGTGTACCATTTAAAAAAGTTCAACTTTGGTTTGCCACACTTTTAAGACACACCCTGTATAGTTGTAACTAACTTCATTAAAAACTTTCTGATATCACCTACAACTTTCACATTTGACATTCCTTGGTATCTCTTCAAACAGGTAAGATAGGTGTGGGTGGGTGCAAAATATAGATTATCACCCTGTACAGGGTTATAGGTTATTGCTCTAAAATTAACCGTTTAGGTTTTACAGCCTGTCAAAGCTGCAAAAAAGTAAATTTTCAACTGTCAATATTTCCAAAACAGTTGAATTTAGGTAAAGAGTATATCATTTGAAATCTGCTCAGAATTTTACGTAGAATCCGAGCAGGGTATTCCATTCAAAATGAGAAAGTTAGAGAACGACTAGCTTTTCTTAAACACCCTGTATATGCGAAAGTGAGCTTTTCAAAAATTTGAATTTCAACCATAAAACTTTTATTTGGGCAACTTCCTTTTAAAATGTCAAACAAAAAAGATAGAGGGGGGTGACATTTATAAAAGCCAATAACCCTGTACCATCGTCACCAAAACTGACTAGAACAAAAATAAATATAATCTCCTGACCTGGACTATTCCAAGTTCACCTAGATAAACCTGAATTATTCATAGTTTGACAAATACCCGACATGTAAAATCATATAATAGTACAAGAGCTAATATGTTGCTGTTTCAGTTTCAGTTACTCTTGGTGACGATGGTGCCAATGTAGAATAAGTACAGGGTGTCCTAAATAAAATGAGTAATATAGGGATTTCAAAAATGGTGAAAGATACAGGCTCGAATTAGAAAAAAAATGCGCAATCAAATGCAGTCTCGAAATTCAAGTATCCGGAAATAAACGAATTTTCTCTTAATCTATTTTCAGTTTTTCCCAAACCTATCTGAGAACTTCGAAATTAGTTCACTTTATTGAAACCCTTTTTTGCCCCTTTAATAATGTCTTTCTAATGATTATTTAACAGTTGAGACCCCATGCAATTTCCACTTATAATGAAGTCATAGACCTTCCAATCTTCCCCTCATTCAAAAACAGCAGTACAATATACCCCAGAATATCACAAAACTGAAAAAAGCTTAAACAATTAAAATCGTATGAAATTGTTACGTTCCCTACTCATGGTACACAAAAAGTCAGAATATTAGTCCAGCTAATTCGAATGGAACGGAAGCGAATTATCTAGACTTATCTAGACAATTCTAGAAGCAACGACGTGCTATAAAGCGTGGTCGGCCATTGAGGAAGAAAGTTAGTGTGTCGAGAATCAGTAAGTGGTGAATTGAAATCGAAAAAGTCAATATAATCGAATAATTAGTGGAATGCGAGTCGACAGTAAGACAGCAGTGACTTGTAACTTGATGTAGTTGAACGAAGTCATAGTGCTAGTTTTGTCGTGATTACTCAACAATATCAATAAGAATAGGAGTAGAACAATTAAATCAGTTTATTTGAACATTTATCAGTTACCTAGAACAGAGGTAGTGTTGATGTTTCTCTGAACTTGTTTCAATAGAATAGGAGTCATAATGTTCAAATTTTTCATATAATAATAAACCATTATTTAAACCTTAAAGTGTCTTTTTTAGGGATTCCAAGTGCCACAAACATGAGTGGTACGGTTGACAGAAGACGCGACACCAACGGTGAATTGGTTATCGACAATGTCCTCAGCACACAACCCGAATTAGGACCCAGTATTCCCGACGGCGGTTATGGGTGGTTCGTGTTTTTCATAACTTTGTTTTTTCAGGTGAGAACTATCGACTAATTTTTATTTCACCCTGTATATTTCGCTAAGACTCTTTCGAATGTTAATAGATTATTCAAAACTTAGCCCAAAGTCGATCTGATACTTTATGTAGGAAACCCATGAACATATTAGTGACAAGCTCAAACTTGGTATATAAGTTTGCATTGGGGTTCTTAATAAACCACCAAACCCGACCAGTAATCGGCCGCGCCTGTCATCCCTAAACAACTCCCCAAAGGGGTGAAAATAGGACCTTTTTTTAGTTTTTTGGCAATATCTCAAAAACAAAGCTATTTACGGAAAAATATGAGGATAGAAAAATTAAAGAGCATAAAATTTCCTATAAAATCACTAATACTACAGCAGTTATTGTTCCGGGTTTTGGAGAGGTATGTTAAATTGAAATTTATTATTTTCTTTAAAGTAAACTCTAGGTACCTATACTGCATATTATGGATTCGACATTGAACATTGAAAATAAACAATGTCGTTTGGCGCTTATCGGTCGCAAAATGCCGTGTCTTTGCAGGTGAGGTATCCTTTCACAGAGTTGGAATTAGTTCTACAATGTATGTCGTGCAAATGTAATAACAAAAATACCGAGTCTTCAAAAAAAAAGCTGAATCAAAGAGTGCTTTGATTACAAAAACGTACGTCGCCTCGGTTTCCATAAATAATTGTTAAAGTGACAAATGAAAATCCAAAAACTTCAATTTCTCAGTTACAAATTTATTTTTGTTTATGACGTCAGTAAATTGACAAATCGATATGCCGTGAATTCGTCTTAAAACACCGAGTGCCCGGAGCCTCTTTATTCTTTTTTCATGTAGTTTAAAAGGAAAACAGGGATGAAAAAACAATACAGCAGCTCCGAGCGTCTACTCGACATCATGACATTACAAAATTATAGGAAAAAATCGCTAAGACATACCTACCATCGTCACTAGAAGTAACTGGAGTAAAAATACTCCATATTAATCTCCTAATCTCCTGGACTATTCGAAGTTAACCTAGATAACCCTAAAATCTTATAATAGTACAAAAGCTAATATGATGCTGTCCCAGTTACTATTGGTGAAGATGGTACGTTCAAAAAATCATAGCTATCTTTGATTTATGTTTTTTTTTTCGAATCAATCACTAATGAAATAGTTTTATTTTCAATATTTTTGGTCGGATTTAGTTGGACGAAACCAACCCAAGGAATTTGTCACTGCAAAACTGTTACAGAAACAATACTTTCGTCGACTGCAGATACACGACATTCTGAGTCCAATAAGCGGCATTGTTTGTTTCGTTTGTTTTCAATATTGTCAATGTCTTGTCTATCTTGGGAAAAAATACAGAATATGTCGTTTTTTTTTTTTGATAAGATAAAACTTGTTGATAGTATATTGTGGCTTGGTTGTGCTTACAAAGTTCACTTACTTCATGATGTTGTCTATTTGTCCTCTAGACAGTTTGTCGCTGAATTCTTGTAGCGAAGAAATAGCTGTAACTAAATTTGGCACAGTAACATTGTGGTTTTGTTGATCCCTACAAAATTAAGAAAATGTTTGGAAAAAGCTCTCTATATAGAACGAATCATTATTCTTACCAATTATTATTATTGAAACCTGGATTGCTATTCACCAGGTTCCTTAGAATATTATCATGATTCCAAATACAATTTGTACAATTTTTAGAAGTCATCTTCACTCTTTACCTTGTAAGTTTCACAAATTAACTGAAATTTTGAGACAAATTAGTCAATGAAAATGCAAAGGTACCCATATATTAGAAACATAAATCATGGTTTCTATGACAAAAAACTTTTGTTTATTATTTACAGGCTAAAGCTGTCTCCACTCAATATTTTTTTTGCAAATAAGGATAAATATAAATATACATGTTGGTTGAAAGCTGAAGTATAGAAAATAGCTAATTTACTCATTGATATAGGTTTTTTTATGTTATACAGGGTGATTCAAAAGTAAGCGGCATTCTTTCGGGGGCGTATTCCTTGCATAAAAATAAGATAAAAAGTTCCTATTAACATGGGTCCGGAAATGCTTCCTAAGGGAGCTACGCCCCTTCGAATAGGACACCTGAAAGACGTGTTTTTTTGTATAACTTTGAAACCCTTCACAAATGGATTTTGAAAATTGGTGTATTTTATGAACATTTGATGGGAATTAAGATACTAAATTGAAAATTCAAAAATCTTAATCAGTATCACATACTGGGGAGGGTGAAAACATCCCTATTTTTTTTTACTCGTCAGGTTTTTGCGAAACATACGCAAATCAGAAAATTTTCAAAGACAATTTTCTCGTAAACGGTATGCTGTATCGAATTGAACCAAGAGTACCTTTTCTGTGTAAAAAACTGTAAACTTTCTGAATTTTCAATCAGAATCGTAAGAACCTGACGATTAAAATAAAATAGGGATGTTTTAACCCTCACCCTCCCCAGTATGTGACGCCACTGATTAAGATTTTTGAATTTCCAATTTAGTATCTTAATTGCCATCAAATGTTAATAAAATACACCAATTTTCAAAATCCATTTGTGAAGGGTTTCAAAGTTATAGAGAAAAATACGTCTTTCAGGTGTCCTATTCCTCCCTTAGGAAGCATTTCCGGACCCATGTTGATAGGAACTTTTTGTCTTATTTTTATGCAAGGAATACGCTGCCGAAAGGTTGCCGCTTACTTTTGAATCACCCTGTATTTAGGATGACGAACAAGGACAGACAATGTTGTCAATGCCTATTTTTTTCCTTTAATTCACCAGAATGTCATGTGTCAATAATTCTGACAACAGCTAAAAATAACGAAATGAAAATGTTTATACAAGTCATGCAAAGTCGCGCGCTGTTGCCAATCAACAACATCCGAAATTCCCCTACTTTGTTGAAAAGTACTTTTAGTGTTGTTAGGTTGGCAGCAGAAATTTACTAAATGTGACGTCATCCTAAATAATATAGCGTAAAGGACCCCACAGACTACGATGAAACTCGACGGTTTTAATCACCACGATGAAACACGTCATTCCAAAACCGAAATGTGTGGTAGAAAAACACGACGGTTTTCTACCAAATACTTCGGTTTTCGAACGACGTGTTTCATCGTGGCGATGAAAACCGTCGTGTTTCATCGTAGTGTGTGGGGCCCTTAAAAATCCTATAGCTATTCCAACGTACTTTTACGATTCTGCGCAAAACCTAAAATTTGTACGTAGAATCCGAAATTCGTATACCGAGTGGTTTCGGAACAATTTATGGGACGGTTTTTTGACGTGTTGGAACAAACCTATTGTTTCCGGTTTCCGTTGAATTTTGCAAAGCAGCAAAATCTTTTGCAGTTCGCCGTTTATTGACTTGCCAGCAGACTTAACAGTGTGTATCAGCAGCCAAATGTTATAAATCCAATAATAAATAAATGGGAGCCTGTTCAAAAAAAAAAAAAAACACTGGGACGTATCGATTTTGCTATTCTGCTTAACATTTTTTGAACGAAGTTTTTTCATACATTTCCGTCTGTAGCTTTTCATTAGGCTATCATTTGACACCAACTATGAATTTAATCGGAGAATAAATAAAAGCGGATTTTTTAATCATGGATTAAATGCAAAGTTGGTGTCAAATATTCCATTTTAGTTGTACATAAGGAAAACTCGGTTGCATTTGGAGTCAGTAGGATGCGGTTTTCGCGAACCTTGGCTACTTTTTTGTCAAACGAAAGATGATGCCAACAGAATTGTCATACAAGGTGTCATACACCCTGTATAATGTAGAACACGCCTTTCTGAGTAAAAGTTATCATTGCACCAAGCCTGAAAAATCATTCCTTTTTGAGAAAACTAATTTCGTAGGTAGCTAGTGAAACGCTTGGAGATTATAATGAACATTGTAGTGTGGATAGGGTAAGCTCGTGGCGCAGTGGTTTGCTACTTGGTTTGCAACGACAAAGTTGTAAGTTCGATTTCCCGAGCAAATCACGTAACACACCACTGGTACCACAAGCTTACCTATTCACGCTACATTGGACTTTCATCATAATCTACGAAAGCGTAGAGTTGCCATGCTAATATTGAAAAATATTTTTATGGAAAATTTACAGTTTTTCTGTAAATTTAAACTTTTTCTGTAAATTTACACTTTTTCTGTAAATTAACACTTTTTCTGTAAGTTTACACTTTTTCTGTAAATTTAGTTAATAGTAAGGGTTAGTTTGGGTTAGCTTGCAATTTTAATCAGACATTTCCCAACTTACCAATAATAACTCGGTTAGTTTGGGTTACTTTGCAATTTTAATCAGAGATCACCAAACTTACCGATAATAACCCAGTGAGTTTGCAGTTTTAACATTAATAAACTTTCAACGAAAATTTTTTGACAGTTCTAACAGCTAGTTAAATTTGGTTATTTTATTTATTTTCATGTGACACAAATCACCCAATCATGTCAAAATTATAGGTACTGAAAACAGCCATAGGGTTGTTACCACTCTATGACATTGTCTCGGACATTACTGTCAAAAAAATTTCAATCCGAAAACAAATGACAGATTTTGACAGTTCCGTAATTTTTTTTTCAATTTTTGAATTCCGAATTTACATACAAGTTAAAAATGTCAAATGACATCATAAAATATTGAAAACGGGAAAATATGAATGAGTGCTGCCGTTTGGCATGGTTTTGACAGGCGTCAAAATGGTTGACATTTTTCGACTTAAATTGGCCGACTTATGGCCGTTTCCACCAACTTTTTTAGGGGAGACTTAACGATAAATATTCCCTAAAATGACATTTTTACATGGAGAAATGTCAGTTTAAGGAATACTTATCGTTAAGGCTCCCCTAAAATAGTTGGTGGAAATGGCCATTAGTAGACATCGATACTTCCGTTCATCAAAATCTGCCATAGTCACTCTGCTTTTGGATATAAGATTCCAATATTTGACAGCTAACCACGCCTCACCTGTCATATATACAGGGTTGTGCCTATGGTAAAAAATGTTGCTTACGGCATCCCCAATAACATACCTATTTAAATTTCATCCAAATATCACGGGTAACCAATTTCCATTTAAATATTGCGCGGGGTCCTTTACAGAAATCTGTTATAAAATTTTTTCGGACAATTATCAATGTCCTTAGGCTTACTGGAAACAAGTTTTTCCGGTGGCGATATATTGTTCCAATTTTTATCCAGCTCAGATTTGATTTGATATTTTAGGATATTTTTATACTAACCAGAGGCGTACTTTTTAGCAATTGAATTAAAACATTTAATCACCTTTGTGGAGAAGTTATCGACTATAGCTATCAAAAAATGAATATTTCCCCCCGACCTCACCAAGCTTAATAATTCTTTCACTGTTATATTCTACTACTTTTGGACAATTTTGCACACTAATTTTTAAATTCTGCAACCTTTGTGGAAAAAGTTATCGACCATCAAAAAAATGAATATTTTGCTCATGCAACCTCAACCACACTTAGGGCCGAATTTATAGTCGCTCCTTGAGGTTTCCTCAGACCTTAGGGAACGTTGAGAATTGAAAAGACTAACAGGTAAAATAGTAGCAAATGTCCATTCTAAACTCACAAACTTCAAGGAAGACTTTTAAATAGTTCATATCTTTCTGTTCTTAAATACTGAAGACGTACTATTTAGATAGTGAATAAGAAATCAATTAATTATATCATCAACCTAAATCTATCCCAACTCACATCTTAATGATACCTAGGTACTAATGAATTTTTTTTTTAGCTCATGATACCTAGTCTGTTAGTAAGCTTCGGATTATTTTTGGCATTTTCCCGAATGAAATCCGACATAATTGAAAGTAAAGATCCAAAATTATGGGACCATCAACTTCTACACGTGCCTTTGTTTTTTGTTGCTAGTTGGACGTTTTTTGGTAAAAATAAATCTAATACTAAAACCTATAATTTAATTCGATTTTTTTGTCAAATTTCAGATCCAACGAGTCGAAAATTTATTTCCCAAAGCACTTGGCCAAAACTGTTTGCTACAGCTGGCACTTGCCTCATATGCTCGGGTTTACTTTTCCTGTGGATGGGCATGACTGGAGCCAACGAAACGTGGCTCTACATTTTAGCCGGCGTCGTAGCAGGTATTGGAGCCTCTATCCAGATGGCTCAGTGCGAAATCCTTCTATCCCAATATTTTAGATTGAAACTTCCCATTTTAACGCATTTGGGCCACGCTGTAGCAGCTCTGGGCTTCATTTCAGCTCCGATAATTATCGGACATCATATTTTGGTACAGAGTGAAACTCAAGTAATATTGTGGTACCAAGCGATTATTTTACAGGGTTTAGTTTTGAATTTGTTTTTGAGAAAACCGCTCTACCTTAAATCGAAGCATCGTGATAGATATAATTATATTACGGTAAGTTAAGAACATTTCAAGCCAGCTAAAATAATTTTGGTCGATGTTGCGTGATTAAATTTAATGTAATTAAATAAGAACAATTATAAAGTGAAAAGTTTTGAATATTGAAACAGATTGGTGAAATTTTACAGACCAATCCCGATGATGAAGAAGATATATTTTCAAAAAACACACGAGAACTACAAATAAGAGTCCAAAATGGTAACGGCGTACAAATACAAACCCATGAACTAGCTACAAATAGTGATACAAGGTGAGCTTAATACCTACCTGAAATAATCACTCTTTTATACTGAAAATTAAAGATTTTTCCTTCCAAAACACATTTTTTCTTTTAGTACAGGTGCAGCGCAAGCGACAACTTCAAATCAAGAACCGTCAGCCCTAAAAAATGACAAAAATTGGGTTCGTTTTGAAGAAGATGAGGATGAAGAAGAAACTACCAAATATGAAAAAGTACAACAGTGGGATGAGAAAACCGAACAGGAAGAAGCAAAAACAATAGAGGATGCGACGGTAAATGGAAAATATCTCAGTTAAATCAGTATTTAATAGAATTAATTTTACTTCAGACCAAGAAAACTGATTCAAACCAATGGGAAACGTTCGAGGACGACCTAGAGAGTCCAACAGGAAAAAACAGCACTCGTAATTCGAGAAATTTGCATTTGGAAATGTCTTTTGGTGATGTCAATGAGAGAAATGAAAGGCCTTCGACAAGAACTATCACTGGGTGAGATTTTATTAAATTTCGTGAAATCATTTTTCTGCGAACGGTTTCGTATGACGCACTTTGATCAAATTAATTTAACTCCGAGTTTTGCATAAGACATTCTGTTAGGATAATCGAGTATATGAGATCATTATTTTTTAAAATAAGTTTTATCACTTGATTTATAACGTTCGCCAATACCTACCCGGTACTATTGTCAACTAGCTGCTTGGGAAAGGAGGACCCGGTATTCAACCTTATTAATTTAATTGCCGATTCGATCGAATATTTATTGCAATTTAGCAATAAATTAATATAAATTGCGCTGCAAGCCGCAGCAAAGGGAGACTTAAACCAGTGCAAGTACCTCTCGTTGGAAAAGCCCCTCTGGAATTAAGTCTCCCCAGTGCAAGTACCTCTCGCTGGGAACGCCCCTCTGGGTATCTTCAGCCTTATCGTTGTCCAGTGCAATTACCTCTCGTTGGGAACGCCCCTCTGGACAAGGCATAAGGGTGACGATAAACTAACCTACAGTCCCCCAAGCAGCATTGACGTGTGGCTCCCTATAAGGACCCCAGTGTTCAAAGGGTCATGTATCTTATAGGATTAGCGTACATGTAAGGTTATATTTGGGAAAATATATAGCATATATTTTTATATAACCTGAGCGAGTTTCTCTCCATCTACCCCCAAAGCTACAAACCCCCCATGTCACCCCCGTAAAGCGGGCAGTTGTGACACTATGACTAAAATGATCTAATGATACACAATGGAGGAACCTTTGTTCACTTTTAAACCTGGAACCCTTTTTTTAAACTCAATGACACACGCTAGATGAAAAAGGTCTATACGGGGTCTACGAATTTCAACACTCTCATACCTTGAGTTATCAACAATATGAGACTCAACATTCATATCTAGTGGGTAACCAATCGTGTTGTAGCAATATACTTTTCATCTTTGTTACTAGTTTGTCATCCGTTGTATCTTCGAAGTGATTTTCTTGAACAACCCGATGAACATCATCGCAGGATGTTTCTTCTCCAGGAAGCTGCTCGTTTTTCTTTGAAGGAGAAATATAGCTTTTTCCCCTTCCAATGGGACACATACGTTGAATAGGTCGAACTAATTTTCCAGAAGCGGTCGTCAATTCCATCAAACGTGTATTTCCATTCCCACCTCGTGTTACCTTCTCAATGCGACCCAGAATTCAGCCGATTCTTTTCTGGCTACCATCCACCACAAAGACAATAGCTCCAACTTTTACCTGGAGACTATACTTATTCTTTTTTGCGAACAGTGTGAGCTGACCCAAATATTCATTCCGAAACTTGGCTTTAAGTAGGTACTTCTTTTAGTCTCAGTTGGTAATTATATCTTTTCCTTGAATCTTTTGCTTCTATCTTGTAATTGTCGACATCAGGAATATCAATATGGGATATCTCTTTTAAAAACATATTTAGACTTATCAAATCAGTACTATCCTCTGAAACAAAAGTGAGAGGTCGAGAGGTTATAACAGTCTCACATTCGCATAGAATAGTACTCAGCTCTTCAGCAGAAAGATTAAATTTTCCCCGGACTTTTCTTAGAATATCTTTGACAAGCTTAATCAGACGTTCTTACCAACTGCCCTACCAAGCTGCAGTTAGCGAATTGAACTTCCAATTGATTTTTCCAATATTGCTCTTTGCAATAATCCGGTCCTAGTTAAGTTTTTGGAAAGCATTTTCAGCATCCACGAAGTTTGTTCCGTTGAATGGACGTCCTCTTCTTGCTATAAAGCGTCTTAGTGACTATAAAAATGCACTTGAACTTAATGAAGACACCAATTCTAAATGTACTGCTCTATACACAGCACAAGTAAACAGAGTTATCCAAACTTTATCGCCGGTTTGGTGAACATTTCCACTTACTGATTAGTGACATGTTGACAATATCCAGCTAAATTTCTTAATTATAACCCAGGAGTTCAAGTTCCGAGAACGATATCATCTTCAAGAGTTTTTGTATGGTTAAGCTTATTACCTACCAGAAAAAAAACACGTAGAAAAGCGTATTTTGGAAGTAGCTGCTGACTTGACCTGCCATTACCAGAGCCCGTGAGGGTTCCCCCCCAGGATCAGGTGTCCCCTAGTCTAATGCCTCATTCTCACTTGCGCGAAATTCGCTCTTTTTTGACATTGCTTCGACAATTTGACGTTTAATACACGCATAAAACGTCAAATTTTCGGAGCAATGTCAAAAAAGAGCGAATTTCGCGCAAGTGAGAATGAAGTTTAAGTATTAATTTGTTTTTTATCTGGTGTTTCTTTTCTCAATAATAATTATCTAATTGACCTTTTCAATTTAGAAGCCTCTCTCTCTGGCGTCAGACTGTCAGACGCCAAAAGAGTATGAAAACAATGATTGACAGCTATTGACAGTGGTTTGTTGACAAGAGTTTTATACGTGTGAGACTGGAAACTATCATTTCCTCGGGTTTTTCAAGGTGTTTTCCTAACAATGGTGATTGTGTGTAGTGTGCCTTTTCGTGAAAATAATTCCTATTCACCGGCGGACGTGTCTTTCCACAAGTTTTCATCAAATCCTACATTTGTCAAAATTTGGATACACAAAATCAGAACTGATACTAGCAAAAGTAAGGGAAATCCACGACCCATCAAGTATACAAAGATATCCACGTTCAAGTTTAGTTTGCGGAAGCTGTTTGCTTCCCACATTTTCTTTCCAATTTCAAATTTCACCATTCTATGTCGATCATTGTCATTTTCCATTCACTGAACAAAGATACCTAACTCATCGGTGGAGTCACCGATTAGAATAAAAACCAGGGGATTGCTAAACACCCTATACACTTGACATTGACGAGCAAGCAAATGTTGGCGGGAATCTGAATGTTTTCATACTTTATCGTCCATCTCTTTTAATTGAAAACGTCAATTCTATCTAGTCAAACAAAATGTCCAGACAGGGCCGGCTCCAGGACCTGTGCAGCCTGTGCCCCTGCACGAGGCGGCAACATCGAAGGGCGGCAAAAATCTGGAGGGAATTGTCGGCTAAAAAAACCAAACACGAATTACAATAGCTTCATGATTTATTTCATCAATTATGGCGTTCGCCTATCACTGCCAAACTGGACTCAGTGCCACAAACGATTTGAGCACAGTAGTCCTAAGGACTTAATAAGTACGCAACTAGTTCTGCGCAGTTCCAAAATGGTTCGCGAACAGTTCGGAAAACGAGAACCCGAAAACACCTATCGCAAGCCTAGTTTCACCAATGACATAGTTTCACGCCTCCGCTAAGCGATTTGCAGGTTATGTTTTGGTGTTATTTGGGTAGGTTTCTCAAATAGCGAGTCATCTCTGGGTTAGCTTTAACTCCAGGGTAAACGTGTCTGCAATGTTAACCCTCGAGTCATGCTTAACTTGCTATTGAGAAACCGGCCCTTTAAGAGTTGCCGCTAAATTGTAGGTTACAATAGCTGCTTTCTTATCACGGGCTTGGGCGCCCCAGGTCGCCCTGGGTCACGATTTTGAAATGCAAACAACCGTTCTTTTCAATCGGGGCGTTAAGCCCCGGGGTCGTCTAGTATCGGTCTATCTACACCGTTAGCGCCTCAGTGAGGCGTCGAAGCTGCAGTGTCAAAACTGTCACTAGTTTCAGATAATATGTCCTTATATTTCTTATAGGTACTTACTTCCGTTATCATCATTATGAGAGTTATTTCATTTTGTAAACAATTATTTTCCATTTGATTTGAATAATTTTAGTTTTACACAGGACCCGCAGGACAATGACATATACTTTCTAATTTGAGGTTAGATTTTTTCTTTTCAGAGCGTGCGCTGACGCGCCCCATTGCGTCGATGCCTGAGGTTTCAAAGCTCTGAGAAGATAGCAACTAATAAAATAGTATAGTAGTAATATTATTCCATAAAAAACTTAGGTGTTTTTTTTGGAGAGTTCAGTTCAAATTGCAATTAATGCTGAATAAGAACTACAAAGTAATCGGTTAGAGGGGCGGCAAAAATACCTTTTGCACGGGGCGGCGAAATGTCTGGAGCCGGCCCTGTGTCCAGATACAAAAAGACGTCCAAGGTTCATGATGAAAGTATTGCTTGCTGAATCTGAGATAGATTTAAATAAATTTAAAATATTTAGAAAAAAGTCGGCATTACATTTAAAATTAACCAGCTTTGCAAAGTTTTATGCCGAGGTTCAGATACAGCCAAATGAGTGCAAGTTGGTTGAGATTGAAATGCGAATTAATGAATTAGAGTCTCGTTTATTGAAAGAATTATCGAATTTACAATTGGAACTTGAAGATTTTAGATCCAGATAATTTTGACGTTTCAGAAACTGAGAAGTTTGAATGTTTCTCTTAGAGCAGGTGAAGCGCCTGTTCTACGGACATAAGGAGTAGGAACGCGCCATTCTGCTATCAAACTAAAATGAAGCCAGTTTTTAGCAGGTCTTTGTACACCAAATGACAGGTAAAGCATTGAATTAGCTATACCGCCATTATTTTGGATCTCAAAATACCTGAAAAAAAAGACTTCATTTTCCAACTTAATGTTCCTACTCCTCTCACCTAGGAAATTACCTGCTCTAAGACTATTACCTATGTTAAAGTTTCTGAAGCTAAGCAATTTCTTACAAGATAAAACAAGCAATTTCGGCAATCATCTGTTCACTTCGGGGTTACCTAAGTTCACAGGTGTAGGTATATGAGTGTTAACTTGAATTTCGCGATTTATAGGTATATTTCTTTAGTGCATGAATTGACAAATTTCATTATTTGAGGTAGTTCCTTGAAGGATCCGCAGCTTGTTGCATAGAATCAATTGATTCTGTGCAGAAAATTATGGCTTAGACTGGGATATCTTGTGTGCTCGTTTCGAAAATAAAGGCTTTAATGGTACATAATTATATATCAAGGCTCTTTTTAATATAAAATGTGTAGATTCAGATTTGATCAACTACCTAGTCTCTCAGAATTTTAATAATTTTTGTCA